GCGTGGTTGGTAAGTGGTTTGTTTTGCTTGTACAAACTGTAAGGTTTTGTTGTTTGGTTTCAATTTGCAGCACGATTGCCTGGTAAGTCAGATCAACCAATCCATGATTCATCAAGAAAATGAAAGTAGCACATCAAGTGAGACTGATTCAGATGGTGGTGGGGATGATTCTGATCAAACTGGTGACGAAAATCATCCACAAGCTGTAAGGACTTGTAATAGTGCTCTTTCGTTTCCAGTTTGATAGTTAAATTGTTTGTTTTGCTTGAAGTATTCTCCTCCATTTGCAGATTGTACAAATTCAGAGCCCTAAAACCCCTGAAGCTATCAGTCAACCCACAACTGCACCTGTTTCTAATGTAAATGGTGGTCAATTTCAAGAAGATGCTCAAATTGTGAATCAACAGTCAGAACAGGGTGATACAAATCAGCTACCATTGCAAGAGAGTGAAGCACAGCCACAGGTGGTTGGTGTAAATCCTGTTTTGGGAATGGAATTAGGTGCAGTGATTGTCCTTGATGATGAAAATGTACAAGACATGGTATTGGTGACGACAGTTCAAACCACACCAGCGATTATGGAGGAAGTTTAAATTTTTGATGTACTTATTGTAATGCTATAATTTGGTAACCTACCAATTTTGACAACTTAATAAGTCCTGGTCAAACGAGAGTATTCCAACTTAAATAAAATAAATGATAGTGTTGCGAAAGCATTGAGAACAGCTAACCAAGATTGCGTGATTGTCAACTCTCGGCTTTGGTTCGACAGTTTGTGATAGGCATACAAACGAAGGGGAAACTGATTTGTACGGCAACGATCATTTTAGAATTAAAATAACTAGCTGCAATAAGATTATAATGAATAAATAGTAATATTTTGTCAGGGTCAATGTTATTATGGTACCCCCGTCGTGCCTTTCTTATACACCAATCATGATGCGGGAGTTCTTTTAATTACTTCTATACAATTTCATTCAAATACTGAAACAGCTCTAGTATAATAACAATATTAAGAACGATTCACGCTTATGTGTTGAAACTGAATTCAAGCTGAGAATATTGGTTATTTGATGAGTTATTTGTTATCTGTTGGTATATCTAAACGTCTCTTCGTCTTATAAATTGCATTGTAATATTAAATTTATCTGGTCTTGTAAACAGTTTTTTAATCTTTATAGATGTAATTGTATTCATATATGCAATTTTTCTTTCCTGACCTGGTTTACGAATACAACACGCATCTCTGCTATATTCAATCTCATGCCCAGATGACATTTCCAGGTTAATTTTATATTCTTTCCAATGTCTATGTCCAACATTTTGGTAAATTTTGATGTGTTGTAATGTTATAACGTTTAATAAGTCTATTTTCTACAACATATTTTAATCTGTAAATTTATACCTTAACAGAAGTAGTGAACCGAAGTATTTTAATTACATATATAATGGGCGACTTTGCTGATTTTGTAAAATTTAGCTCATGTTCTCCCTAGCTTTACTTCAGCATGTGCTGTGTTTTCATGCAACAAATGAAAACTTAAAGCAACAGAGCTTATTAAAACCTGCTTTTGCAATATTTTGCTATGGTGAATATACAATAACTATCTAACAGATCGCATATAGCAATTATAGATATCGATAAGAACCATCAAACAAGCTAATTTAACATTTAAATATCATAGCTAAGCTGGATACAGGTATAAGTCATCAAGTAAATATATTCTGCTTTGAAAGGCAACGCTTTCTTTGTGAGCTGCATCGCTGCTGTTGTAACAGGTGCGTACTTTACAGTAATGTAGACGGGTCTTATACAAAGTAGACGAGTAGAGACGGGTCTTACACAAAGTAGACGTGTAAACGAATCTTATACAAAGTATAGACGTCATTGACGGGTCTTATACAAAGTAGACGTGTATAGACGGGTCTTATATACATTTATTACACCTACACCGGGTCTCACCTCCGCCACGGCCCCCCCCCCCAAACACCGGCTCCGACGAGACCCTGCATGTTCGGGTATGGTCACGTGACATCCCAGATTTTGGGATATAGCGTAATTTGTCGCTAGGGTGGGTAGGTGGGGCAGAGTTATTAACTACAGTAATTTCTAAAAATAATAGAACTTGTCAATTTAGTTAATGATCGCATTTGGCAGTTTTATAAGTTCTATATTTGAAATAAAACCAATTACACTACGAAAATACGTTATATATGATATGGTTCGCGGTATTTAGACCAGTGATTTAGACTCTTGTCGTCGTCTGTTTCTTGCTAAATATATGTGATCACTGATCGCAGTGATATTAATATTGATACATTGTGATTTTTAAAAACCGTCCTTCGTATATATTAATATAGCACAGATCAAATGTATTTGCCAAAATAAAATGGATATATTTTAGTGTATTTGCTAATAAAGCCTATCAACTATGAACTCTCACCTTTACATAAATTGAAAATATGCAGTGCTAACGGTACGTGTTTATATATATATATTAACGACTTGGGCATTGGGCAACGAAATAGCATTTTGACGTGTGAAGTCATGTGTGAGATTTCCGTACGGGTTTACACTGTGACAAGAAAACTGTCACGGGAGGCACTTGCGGCAAATGTGAAGCAGTTGTACATCAAACCAAATATATACCGAACGTTTTATGGGACAGTATATAGTAATCCATATTACTCGTCTCCTTAGACCTTATACGTTATGGATCGTGAGCTAAGACGTCCTCAGCCCACATAAGACCTCATCAGTAGTGCAAAAAATACTCTCTTACACTAGTTACACAAAAGGGGTAATTTTGTTTACCTGTGATAGAGACATATTGTTCCAAAAGCTTCTTGAGCTTCTTGCCACAGAGCAAGAATCGCCTTTACCCCCAACAAACAATAAGCTCGGATAAGAACAAAAGTAATATAAGAATGCTGCATGGTCTCTCTTTCTATCAATAACAAATTGTCATGAAAGTTAGCACTTCGCAGCTAATTGTTATGGATAAGAGGTTTAATTGACTTGTTCTTGTGGAAAAAAAACAAATATTTATTTGTGAATATTTTTTGGCTAAAGCTGTATAATATCATTAGTTTCTCGTCTTACATATATTCAAGATGCGAATATTTTGAAAAATTCAAAGAGAAATAAAAAATATATAAACCGTGGACCAATTTCGTTCGCCAGTTACAAATACTTCAATGTCGGAATCCATGGGTAAAGAAGGTTTGCATTGGAAGATGTACACTAGTGTACATCACGATCCATAACGTTTACACTCGATGTTGTGAGACTTGCTATTTGCTTTGTTTTCTCAAAGAATTAACAAAAATTTAGTGAGTCACTTTATAAATCTTTTTTATAACTGTGTGGTTGATAACCTTATTTGTTACAATTAAAGTTTTTGAGCTTAAACTATGTGAGAATGTTTCTACGAGAGGGTTTCCGAAACGCCATTTTGTTTTAAAATAGCTTAATTATAGTTGTTTCTTAGACATTTAGATTTTCTAAGAAAGGGGAAGGGTGTCGCGAATTTAATATATTAACATTAATTTATATACAATCTAAAACTGGTCTATTTCTTGTTCACTACATCACAGCATGGGTAACAAGATAACCAAACACATGTACGAATACATGAACAGTCCGACATCAAGTGATGACGCTGGATTTGAATCCCAAGAGGATGAAAATCATGTGGAAAGTAGTACATCAAGTGCTTCTGAAGAAAATTATCATCCTGAAGATGTAAGTAGTTGTTGTAGTTTTGTTCAGTGTTAGCAGCTTCATGGTTAGTAAGTTGTTTGTTTTGCTAGTACAAACTATTAATTTCTTCTTTTATTCCGTTGGCATGCAGCTTGTACAAATTCATGGACGAGATTTGCCACTACTTTGGGAACAAGATCCAAATAACCCTGAACCTGTCATTCATCCGCCAACGGCATCAGTCTGCGATTACAATATTCGTGAGACTGATTCTGATGATGGAAATTATTATCCCCAAGATGTAAGTACTTGTTGTGGTGTTGTTTAACTGGCAGCTTCGTGGTTGGTAAGTGGTTTGTTTTGCTTGTACAAACTGTAAGTTTTTGTTGTTTGGTTTCAATTTGCAGCACGATTACCTGGTAAGTCAGATCAACCAATCCATGATTCATCAAGAAAATGAAAGTAGCACATCAAGTGAGACTGATTCGGATGGTGGTGGGGGTGATTCTGATGAAACTGGTGACGAAAATCATCCACAAGCTGTAAGGATTTGTTACAGTGCTCTTTCGTTTGCGTTTTGATAGTTAAATTGTTTGTTTTGCTTGAAGTATTCTCCTCCATTTGCAGATTGTACAAATTCGGAGCCCTAAAACCCCTGAAGCTATCAGTCAACCCACAATTGCACCTGTTTCTAATGTAAATGGTGGTCAATTTCAAGAAGATGCTCAAATTGTGAATCAACAGTCAGTACAGGGTAATACAAATCAGCTACCATTGCAAGAGAGTGAAGCACAGCCACAGGTGGTTGGTGTAAATCCTGTTTTGGGAATGGAATTAGGTGCAGTGATTGTCCTTGATGATGAAAATGTACAAGACGTGGTATTGGTGACGACAGTTCAAACCACACCAGCGATTCTGGAGGAAGTTTAAACTTTTGATGTACTTATTGTAATGCTATAATTTGGTAACCTACCAATTTTGACAACTTAAGTCCTGGTCAAACGAGAGTATTCCAACTTAAATAAAATAAACGATAGTGTTGCGAAAGCATTGAGAACAGCTAACCAAGATTACGTGATTGTCAACTCTCGGCTTTGGTTCGACAGTTTGTCATAGGCACACGAACCAAGGGGAAACTGTTTTCTACGCCAACGATCATTTTAGAATTAAAACAATCAGCTGTAATTTATTTTAAGATTATAATGAGTAAATAGTAATATTTTGTCAAGTCAATGCCATTGTGTTATCCCCCGTCGTGCCTTCTTTATAAACCAATCATGATGTGAGAATTATTTTAATTACTTCTATACAATTTCACTCAAATACTGAAACGCTAGAATATAATAGCAATATTAAAAACGATTAACACTTATATGTTAAAACTGAATTCAAGCTTGGAAAGCGCCAACCATCTTGAATTTTGAACAAATATTGCTAGCTTACATCAATTATTCCCAGCCTAGACCCTTCTTATGAGAGGGGAGGAACATTATGAGCCTGGAAGAGACAATGAGGTCTTTGGCGTAAACGTAGCACTTAACCCTCCATAACATTTTTGTTTCTCATAATCAAGGCATTCCTTTTACTTTATTAGATTTTTTGGGGCTTATTAGAAAGGGAGCTTATTAGAAAGAGGGTTTATTAGGAAGAGGGTTTATTAGAAAGGGGGTTTATTAGAAAGAAGGATTATTAGAAAGAATGACTCATTAGGAAAGGACTTATTAGAGAGAGAAAGAGTGGTTTATTAGGAAGCGGGCTTATTAGAGAGAGACTTATTACAAAAAGACGTATCACAAAGGGGGCTTATTAAAATTATAAGAGGCCTTATGTGGCTTATTAGACAAGGGATACTTGGAGAGGGGCTACTTAGAAAGGGAGTTTAGCAGAGAAAGTACCACTATCTAGCTACAAAAACAACTCCCTTTAAGATTTCATGTTTCATTTCAATGCATGTTTATAATGAATTTGTAAGATTTTGTGTAATTATCTTTTAGGAGTACGGTATATAATTACTTTTCTAAACTGATGCGGATGTACGTGTATACGTATATGTATGTACAATAACGTGCCTGATGGAAATTGAAAACACTTAAACGTTTGGAGAAAAAACCTTTATAATATAGTCAGGAAGTTAACAGGACAAAACGTAATTAAAGTGTTAACTTTCAAGTACTTCAGACACACACCATGCATGGGAACCTTATTGTAAACACTTTTAAATCCGGTGTGGTACAGATGCGTGGGCGAGCTGTAGTTTAATCAACAACAAAAACTTTCTTTGTAATATATTTAAAGTTCGACTAATTCATGCTGAGTGCAAAAAAAGAAGATTCAGTATGAAGTAAGGTATCACGCTGAGTAGATGTGTTCAGTAATACACTCTATATAGTTGTATATATGAGCTCGATTCTTCTCGATAAATGCATAACCCAAATAACTTTCATATATAAACTATAACAGATTGGTTGTAACGTAAGGCACGGTATGGTTAAGGTTTAACAATATAGGTTTAGAGTAAGATTTTGGATTAAAGAGGGCCACTGCCCCAGTTTTCAAAATAAAGCTAGCTAAGCCTCCAAACCTCTTGCACCTATAATTTCACTTGCTCATTTTAGTTATGGTATTTATAAAGTGCTAACATCAAATTTAAATTGACTTTAAATTTTAATTGTTTAAAACAATTAAGGCCCGGTCACACTACACAACGATAACGATAAATTGTAAACACGCGATAATTGGCAAAAAAAATGTGTTAGTGTCCACACTACAACGAAAGTGATAAAATTATCGTTTGACGATAACGATAACAATTTTAAAATCGCTCACCTGAGCGATTTTTTTTTCAGTCGGACGATAACGATAATTTTTTTACCAATCAGCGTGCGTATACAAGTTATCGTTATCGTTGTGTAGTGTGACCTGGGCTTTAGTCTCCGCAATTGGTATCGTCTTGTTAACCCCATTAATGGTAGTGGTCGATCTCAGTGAATATCTTTGGTAGGGACACCATTGCCTATTAATTTAGATATCAGCGAGTCCTTCTTATATTGCTGATCAATGAAAGTTAAAAATTGTTTCCCTATACGAGCTTGTCAAGTTTCCAGTTTGTAACGGATATCGCCAAATTTTAATTTGCGCAGAGGCTTTCTATCGTCTTCCGCGCCCGCGCACCGAATTTTAGCGGTTATCTTCGTCTTTACTTATAACAAATTATTTGAAATCCTTTAAAAGCGTAATTCTTTCTAAATTTAAAAGCCTTTAAAAGCCTCTGCGGAGGAGAGGTTCAAAATTAATATATATTTATCACATCTTGGTCCTTGGTTAAACCCAATATTAAATCATCACCCCCAATCCAAATACACATCAAAAACTTAATCGTAATCCTAAGCCAAATTACCCAACGTTTAAACCTATAAGCAGATTCGAATGATTCACAAGCAATTAGGATTTATTGAATAACTGAAACATCCAATTCATACCCCAATCCATGCAAGCACTTATCCACAATGGTATACGAATTGTTCAACAATCAGAAACCATTATACCCTAATCCAAATCCTAATCCAAGCCTTAAACCTAACCAGGCTGATGCATGTAATTTGAGTGAACGCCTCTTCATCTTATACATTACATTGTAATATTCGACTCCGTGAGTGTTACAAAGTGAATATCTTCTATATATATTGCCCTGGGTAGCAGATTCTTTGAAATTAAATCACTGCAGTTCACTTGCTACATAAAGAAATGCTTTTCATGATATTAATGTTGACTAGTAAGAGAAATGATCGCGCTTGAATATCTTTGTTGTAGCTAACAATTATGTTATAATGCACAGATAACAATTAATTATAGCTTTTCCTTCCTTTGTTTTCGCTCTTAAAATTCATATCTTAAGACATCGTATCCGCGGATACTTGACAGTAGAAAGAGATAATTACAGCTGAATTGCCAAAAATGTCCACCATGTTATTACAAACAAACCTTATACTTAAAATTTATCATAAACGTGCTTGTAGAAAATTGGAACAGTATAAAAAAAACAATCAATTGCAAAAGTGGTTGACAAGAATAAGAATTACTGGTTGGGTTATCTACACCGTTGGGTGCCAAAAAAAGTATACGTTCCATATCAAACATACCTGCAGGGCGGTTCGTCCGGGATTTATGCCTAACGCCAGCAAAATTTTTTCAAAACTCCGTAATTCAAGGAGAAATAATTGTATCGACTTGGTGAAGAAATGTAACGAAAATCAGACATGCGGCATTGTATGCAGTATAGTTCAGTTATATTTACACCAAAACGAGTTTTAAACATGAAAACGAGGATAAAAGCACCCGAAACCTGCAGAAGACGACCATAAACAGTCTTAGGCCTGTTTTATACGTCGAATTTTGGTCGCGTTGAATGCAATTAAGACAATAGATAATGAGATGATAAATCTCATTAAGCTTCATTATCTATTGTTTGAATTGCATTCGACGCGACCGAAATTCGACGTATAAAAACAGGCCTCAGTTACGGCTAAAACGTTTTGATGTGATGTGGGCTGCCCACAGAATAATCTAGATTATATAAACATGCACGTTCTAATATCATGACAAAGCGGAACTTAGGCTATGTACTGATTCCAATATAGTAGCCTAATTGGGGTTTCACAATAGAATTGATTATAACTCAATTCAATAATAGAACGTACGCCTAATAAGTTTTTTGAAAATAGAATAGTTCTTTGTATAATGTGAGTTTCACTGTATCATTAATTGCTTTTATCGCTTCCCTGCATATATTAAACCACCATCGGCAAACTGTTTGTCAGGTTGAGCTCGGTTTTCTGTGCTGCCGAATACTACAAAACCAGTCAAAGCCTTTATGGCATAATTATGGCTTATGTGCCCGGTTGTTGGCACATAGCCGGTTTATTATTTTAATCGATTTTTAATAATTAACAAGAACAATTATTAATTAATAACTATATAACATTTAGCACAGAAAAGGTGGGGGCATTACTAACGCCCACTACCGTGACATAACGTATCTATATAAGTTCAACATATCGCGTCCAACAACGGGGAGGAGGGTGGGTAATTCTCTTCCATCCAATTTCTTGATGTGAACTGCAGCCCATATGGAATAGGAAAGGAAAGATGGCCCGCTTCACCACTGATAAATACCGAAATTTCCAATCACATGACTACACTTAAATTAACTTGCGCGCGCAAATAACTTATTTCGCATAATTAATTTCAACTATAAATTATTCCGGGAAGCAATAAAAACTCTTATCGCTGTGGCAATAAGTTCCTGTATTGCAATGTCAGAGTCAAAGTTTTACTAAACTTATTAAGAAACAGAGGGGTTTACCCCTCGAATGAATATAATTGTTGTGATTATAAGAATCCATAAATTCCGCTTTGTCTGATTTTAGAACATATTTTATACAATCTATAGATTATTCCGTGGGCGGCCCACATCACATTTCGAAATTTATCAGCCACCTGCATGACGTTCCTCAGCCACTTGGATAAAACAGGCTACATTGTGGCATTGTGGCAACCTTTTGGGGTAAAAATATTTATACATAATTGTATATAATTAACTAAATATATACAGCTAATTCAAAAAAGGTTGTCCTTTACATAGCCTGAAACAGCCGCATATTTCTGTCACCATCCCGAACGCCAGAAATATGCGGCTGTTTCAGGCTATCCTTTACAAACCTTAAACTCTAAATTTTAAACCTTAAACTCTATAAGCGTGCAAAGCATGATGGGAGCATCATTTCATCAGTTCAGAAATCACAACATATGGCGCCCATTTCCTAGAGACATGGTAAATATCTCCTTAAGAGAACAATCCATTCACAAATAACTGCAATATTCAACAACTAAGCTTGAAACTTGTGCTACCATTAAGCTTTAATTGCGCGCTTAGAGTTTAAGGTTTAAAGTTTGCAAAGGACAACCTTTTTTGAATTGGCTGTATGAACGAAATCTTCGTGCTGTAGTGAAACAATACATGAAATAAACAAAATTCAAAAACTTAATTACTAACGTTTTCCCGCGTCTTCGATTTCCCTATAATTTCCCGCATTCAGCTATAGTTTAATTCCTATTATTACAATCTAGCCACTGTTTTCTCCGTAACGCACGTCGTGCTAAATGTCTCTATTAATTGATTTTTTGTACTTGCAAATAAAATTGGTTAAGAAGGATTTAGAGTATTAAAAAACCACATATAATTGAGAACTGAATGCAGTCTACGTTATCTAAAAGCGCCACATTCTGTTCCTTGCTTTTTAACTATTCAACACGCAATGAGTATAAGCATATTTATGACTGTCCTTTTCAACTGTCCCACTCAACGTTTTGACAATATCAAATGTTTCATAAAGTTATATATTTGCGCTATAAATAATATAATCCTATATGCTTTCCAACACACTTTTAAAATCCTATATTAAACATATAATCCATCCTCATAACACATGACCATAATATATATATTAACTACATGCAACTGTTTAAAAAAAAGTTGTCCTTCAAAAATCTCAAACCTTAAACTCTAAGAGCGCAAGGTGAGAAGGGTAACGTCTGTGTACTATAGGATTATTTGCCCAATCAAAAGCCTTAAAAAGAAGTTACCCATCACTACTTGCGTGCTTAGAGTTTAAGGTTTTGAGATTTTCGAATGAAAACCTTTTTTGAATTAGTTGTATATGTTTCATGCATGAAGTAAGATTTAGTTGGCTTATAGTTCTGTACCAACCTAACAAAGTATTCTTTGAAAAACTCACTCGCACATTTTTTCCAAATTATATATCCGCTTTTTAGAATTGAATCAATTACTCTATTTCTATAGATTGGAGTCATCCTTAACACTCTATTGAGAAATAAAAGTATGCTATACCAATATAGAGTTCATAAACGGAGTTTATAAGCGGAAATGGAACGACGAAAGTCAAAACAAACTCCTTCAAACAAGACGCTCTATATATTGAGCGTTAATTTAGTCGCTGGAGTTGCTATTCAGAAGACTTTTGTCGACTGATCGCAAGAGTGAACTCGCAAGCTCAACAACATCGCCCTCATGGTTGAAAACATTTCTTACTGGGCCAATTTGTATAGTACATACCATGCACTTGTCGCGGCCTGAAATGTTTGCGTTGTGCCGAATGCATTTACAAACAATTTAAAGGGTTTGAATAACAGTAGTGTTATTTTCTGTTATTTCCTCTTATTCGAGCTAAAATGTTACTGTTCAAGATTTTACTGTATATTTATTGGCATCTATCGCGATAATATTCCACGGATGTGGAAACTGCAAAATTCTAGCTGAGAATATTGGTTGCAGTGGCTATAAAACCATGAATATTTAAATGTCTACATTCCTATCAATTACATTGCAATATTGGTCTAACAAAGTTTAGTATCTTCCACATCTTGGGTAGATTCTTTGAAAGTACAAATCATATTTCACTTGCTAAATAAAGGTAAGTCTTTACCACTCTTTATAGATATAATTGTCTTCCCATAATTATTACCCTGATGGAAAAGCCAATAAAATAATTACCCTGATGAGAGTAGTGGAAAAGCCAATAAAACACTATATACCCAGATGGAAAAGCCAATAAAAGCCACTTACAATCCTGGCAAAAATTATCGTGAACACTGCGTGCGCCTCAAACAAAACTAGATGTACTTCTACATTAATATAACCAAAAAAAATTTCTCCCCCTCCTACCCCAATTCAATGTTGGTAAATCAACTAAACATACTTTTAAAATTTAAATGCGAGAAACAACATTGAATACGGGGCAGGGGAGCGACAAAATTTCATGAAAGAACATCTCAATGTTAATATTGGCGTTAGAAAAGTTGAGAACGTCCATGCACACAATTTTTGCCAGGATTGTAGCTCGAGGTTACTGGGGGACGAGGTTCTATGTGACCGGTTTCGTAAGCGTTCCTGGAAGATAAAAATGTCATCATAGAGATTATAAATAACACTATAGAGAGGGCATCGTAATCTTAATTCAGTCAGAGAAAGGGGACGCAGCTAATGGAGGGCGAAACATTAAAATGCTAAAATAAGAGGAAGTTCGAGCCAAAATCTCTAAATTCTTGTTTATGACAGTTAAATACAATTCTATACAATTTCTAAATACCTTAGAATGGTTCCTGCATGACTAACTGAGTAACAAAGCTTATTATAACAATGACTTCATATAATCATGAAAGCCTTGATAAGCTATTACACCAACAAATCTTCATTATATACAGTATAGAGTGTTTTATACTCACCTTTAATTTCAAAGAATCTGCTATCGAAGAAGCCGCTATATCAACTAGACCAGGCCACATGCAAGTTGTTTATAACACGAACAAATCAACTCAGCGTGCATGTGTGATACCTTACTGTATCTTATTTTGCAGCTCAGCATGAATTGGTCGAGCTTTATATTGACGAAAGAAACTTTTTGTTTTGACTAAACTGTATAGCCCGCCCATGTACCTGCATACATAGGAGTGTAGCAGTAAGATTCAGTAATTGTAACGAGTCACCTACAGATCGAGTCACGAGTCGAGTCACTCAAAGGTCGAGTCACAAGTCGAGTCATTTCAGTTTCTGATCGAGTCGAGTCAGCGGCTTCACTCGAATCAAGTCGAGTCACTGGTTTAAGTCGAATCGAGTCATGATAGCTAAACTTGACTTGAGTCAGGGAATTTGATCAAGTCCACCCCACGATTTCTGTAATGGTTCGCTACCCTAGCTTGCAGTTTGAAATTAGTAATCAAATTTACCTTAAGCCAATTACTTTAGTCACTTAATAACAGCATCTGGGCTGCTAGGCTGTACCAATATCACAGTTTTAGTCAATATATTAAGTACGACCACATGAGATGTCTCATCATGCCTGCTGATCGATCGAGTGTACGTACATACAACTAACATAACTTGCAACTGGAGTCAGAATTAACAAAGAATATACTTCAATTAATCACGCTTTGTAAGTTAATTTAAAATGATATAGCACTTCATACTGAATACCAAAAACGGAAAGAGCCGGTCAAAATTAGTATAAGTACACAAAATTTTAAGACTCTATTTTAAAAACTGTGGCAATGGCGTTGTTTCTAAAAACAGAAAAGTAATATGCATTCCCGTCAGGGATATATTCTATGCAAATCCCCATATATTTTCTGATAAAGTCTCGAAGTTCTCATTGTTCACATGAAGGGCTCATTGTTCTTCCCAAGCAATACAATCATAAAAATTTTGATGAATTTACTCCGTACAAGTTGTTGCTGATTTGACTCGAGTAGGGCAAAAATAAGCAAGTCGAGTCCGAGTCGAGTCATATATTTGGGGCTTTTGGCTCGAGTCGAGTTATTTTTCGTATTGTACTCGAGTCGAGTCGCTGAAAATAGCAACTCGGGTTGATTCGAGTCCGAGTCAATGACTCGACTCGTTACAACACTGATAAGATTCCTTGGTTTGTGTCTGAAGTATACTTGAAAGTTAACACTTCAAGGTAGTTCAGACTTCAGAACACAACCTTGGCAGTTTATATAATCAATGCCCAAATTTAGTGTGTACAAATTTGGATAGCAAATTTGAATATAGCTATAAATACTACCATGCTTTTTTTGCTGCAAGTTTCAGTTTTTAAAATTGTTGTACAATTTTAAAAACTGGAGATCATTACCATCAATTCATGCACCAAATCTGATCGAAGAATTATTATTATTAGATACGAGTTAGATTAGGTGCTAAACTCCTTAGCAACAACTGACATGCTCTGGTCAACTTGATTACCCCGGTTTCCTGTTCTTAATGGTGATAAGTGTATCACCATTGAGCACAGGAAACCGAGGTAATCAAGTGCATGGACAAGAGCATGTCAGATGTTGCTATTGCACAATTATACCTCCCCGATATGTAAATTTCGCATCAGTCAAAGTTTGCTCTCATCCGAGTAGGACGACTTCGAAATCTTGGACTTGAAAAGGCTTGGGTAGAAGATTCTTTAAAAGCAAATCAGTACAGTTCACAGCTACATAAAGGTAAGTGTCATGCACACACCTAGAGTCGCGTGTTTACACTGCAAGCCTTGGCCTAGCATTGGCCTGGCCTTGGCCAAACCAAGGTAAATGTGGCGCGCGTTTGCACCATCACAATAATTTTTTGAGACTGGCCCACTTTGGCCTAGAATTTTGTAACTAATTTTATGTATTTTTATGTGTTGTGACGTTGTCCGCTGGTTGTCTGCTAATCCCTCACTGTGGACACACGTTAATTGACATGAAAATAAGGCCCAGTCCATGGCCGAAAGTGTTTACATTGCCACAAGCCTAGGCCAGGTCTAAGCCACCGGTTGTAGTGGGCCCAGATTTCCTGGCCAAGGCTAGGCCAATATGCTGGTAGTGTAAACACGACTCTAAATATATCATGCGACAATTAATTTTATTAAGCATTAGAAATGTCAACACGTGTTGTTTGTATTACTGGAAACTTGAATAATTACAATAAACTTACAATTAAAAGAAGTGGTTGCAATAGTCTTTATTATTTTATCTTGAATGTATATAAAGTAATATTCACACCCTATATAAATGATACCATTATGGCGTTTAGCATGCACCTATACTTTGCACCCTCATAACACTAAGACTAATTATTATTCGTGAGGCTTTTGAACATTGGCATAACTCACATTAACATCACAGAATAGGTGGGAAAACCATTCCGCCATTGTAACGTTAAATGACATCAACTTTAGCTTAACTAAACCTCGCTTTGCATTCGTATTTCTAGCTTGGAAAATAACACAGAATATATATATTCAAATTCAAATAACTAGGGAAAATTATTCCCACTAAGTGATTTTTTGTCACAGCCCAGTCATTCTCAAATACTAAACTGTTAGAAGCCACAAAAAAGATCATATACGTGAAAATTTATATAGAACTAACTGGATATTTATATCCAACCACTTACTCTAATAGACTACAATTATACAAACATGATATTTGTGGTCTATTAGATTCGTCGTTAACACAAAAGACTCATTTCACACAAGTCAAGTACTGGAAATAAAGCAAGTATGCTTTCGTCATGAAAACATATGTGCACTTCACAGTAGATTTAGTATATCACTGCACGAAAATTTATTCATATAAAAGAAGAGTCTTTATACAAGCAACTAGTTTCGTACTAAAGGCCTTGTTTAAAAAACTGAACCAGTTCTAGGGTTTTACTTTACGTGTGAAAGGAGTCTTTTGTGTTAACGACGGATCTAATAGACTACAAATATGTTTGTAGTCTATTAGAGTAAGTGGTTGGACACTTACGTTTTTCAAAGATCTGTGACAACTGGGTGAGAGATCTATAGATAAACGACATAGGAACAACCGAATCGAAACTGTCATATATATGAGCTATAGGCCAAAAGACTGATCCATCACTCGAATAGGCTATGTTTTATATTAGACTGTCATATAGCGAATATATATAAATGTTTTTTTTTGCGGTAAATAGAACTGTATTAAACCGGGCGGCGAAATCTAAAAATTAAATTTACCATAACACAAGGCTATCGGAAACAGGGAAGAAACTCTGGAATAAAGACTTTTTATACCTGCCACAAGTCAAGGACCCGTTTGAATCACTGTACAATACCATATAAGGAATATAGACATTTAGATATTAGGTCCGGGTCAAACTGTAAATCGTTTGATGCGCCGAACATAATAGTTGGCACGAACAATGAAATGCCACGAATAATGAAATTAAAAGTGCAAATAGTCCATATTTTAAGGTTAACCTTGAGGCTAATAAGAAAAATCCAAAATCAACCTGGAAACTTATTAACGAATTAAACTCTCGTAATGCCTCTAGCCACAAAACTATATTCAATATCAAAGTGGGCGAAGAAACTATAAATACACCCAAGGAAATAGCTGAAACATTTAATTCTCACTTTGCTAGTGTGGGTGAAAATTTAGCATCCGATATAGAACCTGACGTATATGTTTGTGCCTGCTGAAACCACATTTTCAAAGAAATCCCTCACTGTATATGCAGTTTACAAAAAACTAAAGAAAAAAAGACTAAAGAACGAAAGAAAGCAGCAGGTCTTTAAGAATTGCAGCTGAAATAGTTGCCCCCATCGTTAACTCAAATATTTGATAAGACTATTACTCCAGAGTTACTCCAATTTTTAAGAAAGGTAAAAAATACGACATGAACAGCGATAGACCAATATCTGTTATTTCGGTAGCAGCAAAGATTTTTGAAAAGTTGACTTTTTATGAGTATCTGAACAACAACAAACTAATATCTGCGTCTCAATCTGGATTTCGATCATTGCACAGTACACTAACTGCCCTAATAAAAGCCACGGATAATTGGTCAATAAGTACTAGATAAAGACCTTCTTAACGAAGTAATTTTTATCGATCTTAAAAAAGCATTTGATACTATTGATCACACCATTCCTTTACGGAAGTTACGAATTTATGGCGTTGATGAAAATGGTATCAAATTCTTCGAATCATACCTAAGCAACCGCAGTCAAATATGTTGCGTCAATGGTGAGTTATCTGAAACTGTTAAAACAACCTGTGGGGTACCACAAGGCACTAACTTGGGACCTCTATTGTTCTTAATATACATAAATGATCTGCCTAATTGTCTCAACAGAGCCTCTTCAAGAATGTTTGCTGACGAAACTAATATTAGCATCGCAGCAAATTCTGTTACGGAGCTTGAGCAAATAATAAACTCCGAATTGAAAAATCTTCATCAGTGCATGGCTACTAGCTAATAGACTGAGTCTTAACGTCGCTAAAACAATATTCATGATAATAGGATCTCGTCAACGATTACTAGTACATGATGACGAACACAAAAGAATAGTAAAGATAGAAAGTGACGGAAAGACAATTAAGAGAGTCAACGAAACGAAATCCTTAGGCTTGCAAATCGATGAGGATCTTACATGGCCACGACATGTCGAAAATATTTCCAAAAAGATTGCATCAGCTATTGGAGCTCTTAAACGGGTACGCCAATTTATAGATAGAAACACTGCTCTAAAAATTTATGGAGCATTAATTTAACCGCACTTTGATCATGTAGCTCAGTTTGGGATGATTTAAATATCACGTTAAATGATAAATTGCAAAAATTGCAAAATAGGGCAGCGACGGTCATCACTAAATCTCGATATGATGCTAGCTCCAGCCACCTTTTTAGTAAGCTGGCCTGGGATAATCTTTTAACACGTCGGAAAAAAGCATAAAGCTATACTAATGTTTAAAACAATTAACGATCTAACTCCGGTTTATCTCCATGAATTGTTTGAATCTCGCAGCACAGGATATAATTTAAGAAACTGTGAACACACCTTATTTGTACCAAAACCAAGAACGAACTACGGTATAAGCGAAGTTTTGTGCGCATATATGTACTTAGTTCCTCATGCATCATATTATATTTACCGACTGTCCGTGTGCTGAAGTATTTTTCTACTAGCGTGCATAGAAATCTAAGAGGCCGAATATTATGCGGTATTTCTGCGAGCGTGAAACAACCTCTGGCACCCAGGGTATATGCTTAAACAATTTCAAAATCGTGATCTTGCTTAGTGTTTGCAGTGAATTGTAATAAAGTCATCGAAGTTACGTCTACTGTAAATTTAGAATGAAAATAGAGTACACTCAATATTTGCTAATATACGAGTACATAATTGTCGAGGTAATTGTGATACCACGCCCCTGTCAGGATTCAGCAAATTCCAAGTACAAGCAGGGGGTACAGGAGGCACTACTTAATTTTTAAAACAGCATGATCTGCATGCATGCAATGTATGGTATATAATTATAATATATTTCAAAGGCTTACAACGGCTTCAATTTTGGTTTTGTCATGCAGTATAAATTGTAAGTTTGTTGTAAGCTTTTTGAGTTGTTGAATTTAAGCTAGAAACTCAAGCCAAAGCTATACATTTTATTCACGGGGTTAAGATCAGAGCATTCTGTGATGGCAAATTTCCCCAAATCTCCCAATACAAAGTGCTGTTTGTTCTTTGACATTTAGTCGATCTGTTGGAAGAGAAAATTTCCATCAAAAGTATCCAAAATTATCTTCACTCAACCTAGGGGGGCGCCGGCTAAATCAAACAAATTCTTGATTAGAACTGTTCAGATTTCAAATACCTCGTTATCATTTTTTCCTCAACAGATCACACGGAATATTGTGCACAGCAAAATCGGCAAAGATGGCTAGTTATGAAGGACGTAAAAGTCCTACAAGTGAGCAAGAAGTTTATGGCGATATAAGTGAAGAAGATGTTGCGGAATATAATGACGAGGGAACACAAGAAAATGATGATGGTCAAATGATGAATATAGAATTCGATCTGGTTTCTGAAAACAGCGTTATGACGGTGCACGATGGTGAAGTAAACGAGTGTCCAGCACAAGAAGATAACCATATGATGGTTACAGAATCATCCCTGGCCACTGAAAATAATGTTGTGATGCATAACCCTGTGAGTGAAATACATGTTGATCCACCATCACAACAGAATGATGATGGTGAAATGATGGTCGCAGAGTCAACCCTGGCTGGTGAAAATAATGTTGTGAAGAATGAGCCTGTGAGTGAAATACATGATGGTCCACCATTACAAGAGAATAGTGATGGTGAAATGATAGTCGCAGAGTCAACCCTGGCTGGTGAAAATAATGTTGTGAAGAATGAGCCTGTGAGTGAAATACATGATGGTCCACCATTACAAGAGAATGATGATGGTGAAATGATGGTCACAGAGTCATCCCTGGCTGCTAAAAATAATGTTGTGAAGAATGAGCCTGTTATTGAAATACATGATGGTCCATCATTACAAGAGAATGATGATGGTGAAACGATGGTTGCAGAGACATCACTGGCTGCTAAAAATGTTGTGAAGAATGAGCCTGTAAGTGAAATACATGATGGTCCACCATTACAAGAGAATGATGATGGTGAAATGATGGTCGCAGAGTCATCCCTGGCTGGTGAAAATCATGTTATAGTGCACGACCCTGGAATTGAAATACATGATGGTCCACCATTACAAGAGAGTGATGGTGTTCAATCAGTACAGATTGGTGCAAGTCCTGAAATCATGGTGTATGATCCAGATGCTGGACCTGCTTTGGAAGATGAGTTGGGTGGAATAATTATTGAAGAGCAGAGTGATGAAAATGAGCAGGTCGAGTTGTTGGTGATGTCACTTGACACCATTCCAGCCATTGTGGTTGAACTTTGATTTTTTCTTACTTCCATTTACTTACGTTTAAAATTGAAAAGCAATCTATAATGTTACAACTATCACTAGTTGACTACAACCTAGTAATTTTAAGTTCTTTGTAAGTTTGCATGGCGATAACACAATATTTTGGTTTGTGCAAAACGCCACGTATATTTATTATTGAAATAATAAACATACGTGATGTTTTCCACTTTCCAAAACATTTATCCTAGTAATTTTGTCTCTATATATAACTGTCTCTTGCCTAACCCAATCTCTCAAAGCTGGATTATTCTTCTTCTTAGCTGTAAAAACAATACAAGTAGAAACTTTTGTTATATATTTTCCAGGAAATTTGAATTTCTTATAGATTTCATGTATTAAATATTATTGGCTATAAGTGTTTAACTACGAAGTGCGCAATTGAAGTTACTTCAACGTTTGTGAAACATTTCTCGGTTTCTGAAAATAGCGTGTTAACTAAGAGCAATCATCCGAATACTATACTCTATAGGATAAGCGCATCGTAGCGAAATTCTAATCAAAGTGCTTAGATTTTAAGCAGACTCAGAAGTGCTTAAATTTTAAAGAAACTCCGAAGGCGAAGTGCTAGCTTATATGAAACGAAAAACTGAACGAAAAATTGCAAAAGAAGTGACTCTATATAGTTATATTCTTAGTTATATTATATATATTCTTAGCTAGCACAAACCATACGCATTTATTTAGTGGTATAGAAATGGAGAAAATTCCGAAACTAGTACAGTAGTATAGAAATCACTCCTTTGTTAACCATTGTTGGGACTTCAATTTATAAACTTCGAAAGAACTGGAGGTGAGTCACTTAAAATTAATATAGCTGAGACGTTATATACATCTGAAACGGCTCAGCCGTCTAATATTATATTTGATAAAGCAATGTGAACAAAATGGAATATCCTTATAAGTTTCGTGATACTGTTTTGGAATGCACAGATTATGAGCGTGATTTCAAAATAGAAACCCAGAAAGGCTAACATGCAAGACCAGTTCAAATCCGAACTGCTTGTGTTTTGACACAAAAAATCCTGCAGAAGTCGTATTTAACCAGGGCTACGTTACCAAAGTGTGGAATATAGGTATACTATAAACCATCCAGCAATACAAGGAACTTCTTACTATCACGGATCTACGAATTGTACGTCATGAAATCTTTATGTTTCTCTTGTAATAAATCTCGTAGCCAATCCAGTTCAGAATCTTGTTGTTTTCAGGGAGCGGTCATGAAGTAAGTGCTTATACCAGGGCGGAGCATATTGGGGAAATAGATCAAAATTAAACAATAGAGCAATTGAAACTACGGCTTTTAATTTAGAAAAAATACAAGATGGAGGAAAAAACAAAATATCAACAATATGTAAGACTTGAAATTCAGAATAATTTTTTTCATGGTGTTCATTTCAGACTTACTTTGTCCAGAAAAACATTTACTTTTTGGCAACTAAAAATCAAGACTCGTCTTCATTCAACATTACACGTCTGAAATTTACCACCATCTTTTTTGGAGAGATATATGCACTCAATAATATCAGTCCGTTTGCTTACCTATTTCCTGAGGTTTTAGTGTAAAATATTACTTTTGAAAATTTCATACATGGACAAAACTTTTAAATTAGTCACGTGACCAGTTAGAACGTCTTCCAACTTTTTTACATTTTAGGCGCCAGATTCAACTTACAACAAAGCTTTTTACTAACGTTAAGCTTTCAAACAATATTGAATGTAAATATTGCTGTCAAAACACAAGCAGCCCAAATCTTGTCACCCTCTGTAGTTTTTAAATTCCTCGTAATCTTTGTTTCCCATAATACCAAACTTTTTACACCATAACCCTCAATCACTGCTATAAATTTTATAGTATAAAAAGCTACAGTTACAATTAGCAACGCCAACGGACGATTTCTTGCGAAAGTCCCATGGTTTAAGAGAAAGTGGGGCAATCGACGATATACAACATACAAAAGAAAAGAAAGTACTTCTAAATAAACGATTTGATCTTTTTAAAAGCATGTAAAATATTAAACTTTTAAAATAACTTTTCAAAATTACGCGACCAGACCGAAAATAGAGTTCAGAGGCTGTAGAGTTCACTGTCAGTATTACGCTACAGTACACGGTCACATATATAGTTGACATTTGTTTGCAACTTCGAGTTTTGTGTGCTTTTTATAAAATGTTCAAAAATATTCTCAAGAAACTTTAGTGATAATTATTGCAAAATTTAAGCATAACAAAACAAAGAATAATCAAATATATTCACTATATTGCCTAGCGCAAGCGGGTTTGATACAGGGCTTTCAGAATTATTTTGAGTATAGGTGTCTGTTTTGATTAAGTAGGCGGCTGTTGCGAGGGGGCGGTCTAGGGAGTCTTAATTTAAAATCATCCAAATTAACTAGTGTACATTGATTAGATATAGCAACACAACTGAGCTCTGTAACCAATTATAATGTATCACTACTTTCATTCTTCAACAAGGTAACTTCAAGATTTAAGATGACAAATAACTAAATCGGTTTTACGAAATAGAACGTCGTTTTTGAAGAAAACCAGGCTATAAAGTAGCCCAGGTTGAGGAAAAATAACTTTGTTGGAAAGCTTAGAGTGGAAGAAGGAGAGCAGAATTGATATTTCAAGTACTAAACAAAGTAACCGGCGGTAAACTCGTAGCACCTGCCGGAGCTCCGGCGGAAGCCGGCTTATTTTGAAAGCCCTGTTGATACACAGTTAAATTGGGCTTTTTCAAACTTTCAAAGTCTTTCACAAGATAGACATTCCCGTTACGATGGCTTGTTGTTTCATCTAGCTTTATTTCGGTTCAATCTTCTTCTTTGGGAATTACAGACGGTTTATAATATATTTTGTTTACGTTTGCAATTTCTAAGATTGCTTTCGGGCAGGTCGCGTAATTTTGAAAACGGGTCAAACAAGTGCTAACTAGCCTGGTACGGAAGACACAGATGAAGCAAATATCCAGGGGTCGTTAAAGTCGGGACCATTGGGACCAACGGTCGCAGGCACAATTCAGAAACAACTTTCTTGCAGGCACATTTTGTAAAACTTTTGAAACCAGAAGTTATAAAATAAATTTTATGATTCTTATTTTATTATGTATTTTACAATTTGTTCTATAGTCTATTTTAATTTTTTTTTTTGCTAGGGACATTGACAAGTTAACATTTCTTGAGAATATAACTACCAGTGCACGGTGCATGCACATGCATGATGGTGAGTCTGAGGCTCTGAGCTTAAAATTCTCGATTTCTTGGGCCAAAAATATATAAAGCCATAAGGCACATAACTCATAAGCCAGTCAACTATAATCGGCATCTATTATATATAGTGATTCATGGCTGATAGCTCGCCAAACTTTAATTTGATTAGAAGTCTATTGAAACAGTATTCTTTATCAGACTATGTCAATAAATTGACTGGCCCGGCTAATGCCATATGGGAAAGGAAATATAAACTATTTTTTCAAGAATAAATAATACTTGGCAATAACCACATTCAGTTACCACAAAGAAACATGAAATGTTACTGCGAAATATTGACGGTTTATGTGTATAATTGTAACTGCATGCATGCATGCATGTATTGCTGTGACAATGTGTCGAATTGAAATGGTGTCAAGGTTACTATTTCAGATAGCTGGCACTCCAATATACAGCTGGCGTATATATAGTGCAAGTTCGTATGGTTAGGATTAGCATTTGCTGACTGAAGTTTTATTTCTTTTGACTATGTCTATAATGTCGATAATTTTCTATTGTTTCTGCTCACAACAAAAGTTTTCTGGATGGCCTAATATATAACTCACTTTTCAGTTTTCATTATTTTCTCGTGGCTAAACTTTAGCTTAATTGGATCAAGATTTTCACGGCATTTTTTTCATCAAGAATAAGTGTAGAATACTCTATCAGTCTAGCAGAACGGGTTTATAGTAGCAACCCTATATCTGATCCAAGCAATAACCAAGCATGCACTAATCCTTATAATCATATACCACAATCTAACACACCTAATTCTAATCTATAATCCAAACCCTAGTCAAATCTTAATCCAAACAGTAAACCTATCTAGAACTGTTCTGAATTTTATCACATAATGCATGGGGTAATTAAAAATTCGCAATTTCAAAAATTCTCCACAGGAACACTTTACAATAGTATTATAATTATAATAAGGTATATGAGAACAAAGACAAACCAAAATAAAAGTAAGTCTTTAGCTGAAGGTCGTTTGGATGCCAACTGTTTGGTCGTTAGCAAAACATAGAAAGAACCAAGAGTACAAAACATTTATTGAGTTTATATAAAGACGAATAACACAGTAACAGAAACGGATGATGATGAGCTAGAGTATGAACATGGTGAAATTCATAGATCATAACCAGAAATGGTCAAACACGCAATCGGAATGATTTGAGTCATATTATAAGGAGTCATTTTGGCAATCGTCGAAGAGTGTTGAAAAACTGTGTTCGTATAATTAGAAAACGACGGTTCCCAAAATGAATTGTACCAATGTTACCAGACTGCGTTTTAATGGAATGGACATGACAAACGTATGTCTACACTGATACAGAATATGAAATGCTAACATATTTGACGGAAGCTTAAAAATATAACAATATGTGTGATCAAGCGTGAGTTCGGTTTTTGCTGAAGTGAAAGCGAATGTGAGAACAGTCGATGATCTCGTCAGATAACGCTTACCACGTACTTTTCAAATAATATCATTGTTGATCTGATCTTGTTCAGACAAATCGAAATGTTGAAACACGTACAGTTTTAAGCAACGTTAATACAATGCGATTAATCGTGCTGATTTTAGGTTCGCTACAACAATAATTAGAAAACATGACTACACGTAGGCATTATCTGACGATGTCATCAACCGAACAGCAAGTCGTCACAACGATGTTGGGTGATGTCGGACAGGCTTGGACGTGCCTTTACACATAGTATATACCATACACATGTATATACCAGGATGAAACAATACTGTTATACGGAGATGGCTAACAACCAACAGAAAAACAGAGACATTTTGGTGGGAAAAAAAGAGATCGCTTACAAGGGCTAAATAGCTGAATAAATTAACTAACGGATGCCTGACGCGTATGGATGGATGTGTGGATACGACTGGGGATAAAAGTTGATAACGTCTTTATCATCGTTTCGTCATGAATCACACCCCAGCTTTCATTTTCAACATGAATCACAGCGCAGTCGTCGTATATACAGCTGGCAACCATAACATCGCAGTTTATTTGGTAAGTTCTATTTGTTTGCTTATAGATAGCACCTGCAAAGTTTTTCAATGTGGACGTATAGATGTTTTTCGCATGTTTACTTCTACTGAAAATATATTTTAGTCCTCAATGCGAATGAAAAGAGTCCTCTAATATCCGCAAAGCTCTGATCGAACGAGGAGAACAACATATAGACCATTTTATATTACACAACTTTTGCCTAAAACTGTCGCATGCAACCTGCTTACAACTCGAATTGTACTGTGTAAATCAAACATACAACTCGCTTACGTTGTTGTAGGTGAGTTGTGTGTTTGATTTACACAGTACAACTCAAGTTGTAAGCGGTTTGCCTGCGACAGTTTTAGGCAAAAGTTGTGTGGTGTAAATCGGCCTTATGAAAGTACCAGCTTATAAGCTGAGCACACGCGAACGAGAGTGGCAACTCTCATCAACTTTCGGCCTTGCTTGGCCGAGGTTTAATATACATAGAAATGAGCATAGGTAAAGCCAAAGTATCGTGAATTCTAACTAGGATGTTTGTATCATGCAAAATAGATTTGCAATAATATCCAAACTTATATAATCATATAACTGTATTTTTTTAACTCAGATGGTTAGCTATATATTATACATTAACATTATAATTAACGACTTAATATTGCAGTTTTTATGTATAAGACATAAAATTATGTGGTACTCAAGGGCATGTAGGTACTAAACTTCCCGCCAAAGCACATTTCAATTTAATTCTATTTTGTGTTCACAATTCAATCTAAATGTTACGTATAAAGTTAATTTCCCATTCAACAGATATATTTAAGACCATATATTATTCTATATTTATCCAATGTTTAGAAAATATTAAACAGCATTGTATAAATTTATTTTCTGAAAAACATTCCTTTACCTCAGCTGAACAGATTATTAATAAATGACAGTATACTGTGAAAAGTTTAAAATAAAGAATATAAGATTGCCATTTCCTATGGCTGCAGTGAAAATGTAACACATAAAACATTACTGAACAATTTAACAATTGACCTGTTTTTTGCATTAGTTGCTTAAAGACAAAATTTAAAGTCTAATACTTATTTCCCCACAACAAGCTATAATAAAATTGAAGGATATAATAAAATTATACAGATGCAGAATACAATAAAAATTAACATCTATATGTAAAGGCTCCTATTGCTTCACTAAAAGATAAGTGCATTTTATTCCATTCCACAGGTTTGAAGATTTGGTATTGCCTAGTTATATTATCAGTTGCAAAGGCACATTGCACTAAACCTTCCCAAAGCTATTTATTAATACATAGAGTTAAGATCAGAAGATTCTGTGATGATAATTGGGTAACTGCATGATACCCAAAATTCCCTATTCAAGGTGCTATTTTTGTTCCATTCAGCCCAAAGAGGTCCAGGTTAAATCAGCCAAAGGTCCTGATTAGAACTCTCCATGTTTGATGTATAGATTTCAAATGACTCATTATGCTTTTTTTCTTCAGCAGATCACACAGAATATTGTGAAAAATCAACAAAATCAGTCACAAAATGGCTGGTTATGAAGGCTGTGGAAGTCCCACCCCAAGTGAGCACGAACACAATGACGATAAAAACGAAGACAACATTACGGAACATGAAGAAGAGGCGCAAGAGGACAATGATACTCAAGCGGATGAAACGATGAATGACGGTGAACCAAACGAGAGTTCCCCACAAGACAACAACGACATGAACCCTGGGAATGAAGCAGATAGCGCACAAGGCTTACCAGAGAGTGAAGATGCTGAAATGGCACAACCAGCACACGTTGGATCAGATTCTGACATCATGGCGCACGACCCAGATGCTGATCTTGATTTAGAAGAGTTGTTAGGTGGTATGATTGTTGCAGTACTTGATTATGACAATGGACAGATGGAGTTGCTGGTGATGTCTATTGATTCAACTCCAGCAACCCCAGAACTTTAATTTCATAATATATTTATACATGCGCTAGCTTAGTTAATTACTGTAAGCTAATAATTACTCTCAGACTGTGTCAATAACGTTTACTGGTCATGGACTACAGAAATTGGATAATGTAAAACAGGGAACAGTAACTTTCTATCAGGTTATGTGTCACTAATAATTAGCTGGCTTAAGTTTCGAAAAATTAATAAATGTTCTCTTGAGAATATGCCGTTTGGGTGTATTTTGTATCGTAAAAGAGCTACCATACACTTGTCTGTCTTTGCGTGATAATTTAATGCATGTAGTCATCCACCAAAACGATTACTGATTACGACTATGGATTATAGATTATGACATATATTTCTATGATATGACAATAAACCATAGCAAAAGTCAGTTATATGACTGTAGTCCTTGACTGTAGTCCTTGACTATGGTAAATACAGTACTTGACTGTGTATTGATCCTAGATAATCCTTTACTATGAATTAATGATCCATGACTATGATGACTATAGTCCTTGACCAGACTGACTATAATCTTTGACTATGAATGGATGATAGTCTTTGACTATAATGACTATATTCCTTGACTATGATGACTATAGTCCTTGACTGTGATGACTACAGTATTTGACTGTGATGACTATAGTCCTTGACTATGATGACTATAGTCTTTGACTATGGTGACTATAGTCCTTGACTACAATGACTATAGTCTTTGACTATGAATTGATGATCCATGACTATGATGACTATAATAGTATTTGACCATGATGACTATAGTGACTATAGTCTTTGAATATGATGACTATAGTCCTTGACTATGATGGCTATAATCTTTGACTGTGATGACTATAGTCTTTGAATATGATGACTATAGTCTTTAACTATGATGACTATAGTCCTTGACTATGATGACTATAGTCCTTGACTATGATGACTATAATCTTTGACTGTGATGACTATAGTCTTTGAATATGATGACTATAGTCTTTAACTATGATGACTATAGTCCTTGACTATGATGACTATAGTCCTTGACTATGATAACTATAGTCTTTAACTATGATGACTATAGTCCTTGACTATGATGACTATAATCTTTGACTGTGATGACTATATATAGTCCTTGAATATGATGACTATAGTCTTTGACTGTGACAACTATAGTCCTTGACTATGATTATAGAGTTTGACTATGATGACTGTAGTCCTTGACTATGATGACTATAGTCCATGACTATGATGACTATAGTCCACGACCATGGCGACATTAGTCTATAACAACAACTATTTTAATCCATAAATATACCGTACAAGCTTACACATAAAAAAATTTACAATACTTAGGACACTGACTTCCCAAAATAACCACAAAGCTAAAGAAACTGGGAAGCCAGTTTACAAGTTGATTACTAAATTACATAAAGCACACATACAAACTTATAGCAAAGATTACAATTATACTGTATATACACACAAAGACAGACGACTTATATAATACAAATAAACATATACTGGAGTTTTTTTATTATTTTTACAAAATTAATATTTACTTATAAAATCTATGACTATGGTATTTTCTGTGTACAGCAAACAACAGTAAAATGCTCTATCAAACTATACCACTGTGGAAAAAAGCAACGCTGTTCTCAAATAGCGTTGTAATCATTTAAAAAAAGAGCACAACGAGCCGCATGACTACACGTATAAAACTCACCCTCAGTGCTTCAACCAGACCTCTCATGTGTTCAGCCTCCATTCTCTCTTGTTCACACTGTTGATCAGTTGTCTATCAATAATATATAAAAAATAGTTTCTAGTTGATTTAATTGTGGAAAACAGGGGTTAAAAATAGACGAAAGAACCGGACCGTTGCTCCCAGAAATGTTAAACAGCTGCAAAAAATTTGTTAGGTTCAAAATTTACAATCCGTGGTCAGCTACATTACTATATGTTAGGGCACGGATTTAGCACAAAAATACGTAGTTGGCCGGCAGGAAATTTTTATCTGCAGGTTGTGCTCCGAGGACGCCTAGTGGAAAACACCACATGTGTATGTTTCACTTGAAATCGAGACAGAAAAAGTAATCCATTCTAAATATGAACTTTTCATTGCCAGCCATTGTCTGTTTACACAAATACGTCGAAACAAAACAAAAGACGTAATAGCATGCTCTGCAATGAATGTTCAGCGATATGGCCATTTTTCTGTGCAAAATTCGTTCGTGTCTAAAATGACTACACTACCTTGATGTGTACATTTAATCGTTCACATTCCATCTCACGAGAACGAAGTTCTTTTTGTAAGTGAGCACGTGTGACTTCGATGGTTTTCTTCAGCTCGTCAAACGCAACAGCTTGATTCTAGAAATGAAGTCAGCAATTCACATATATTAGATGACGCTAATTAAAATGGCAAGTTGAAAGATAGCTTGACACCGGTTGGAATCGAACCTGCGACCTTGGTTTGCTAGTCTAAAGGCCTGTTTACACTTAAAATGTTTGCTTCGATTTTAGGTGCGATTCTCTTCTTCTGATGGATGCGAACGAGTGGATGAGTTATGAATGTTCAGATGAGGGTTCATATACTTAGAACATTCATAACTCATTTACTCATTCACATCCATCAGAAGCAGAAAATCGCACTAGAAATCGCGGCAATATTTGCAAGTGTAAAGGTCCAGACACACCGGACGCGATGCGACTTTTTAGTTTTTGAAAGTTAATAAAACAGCCAATGAGAGCAAATTTTAAAATATATGTGGATCAAATAACTCAAAATGTTATAGCGCTTCTAAATATTTGGAAAATTTAAACTAGGATCAAAGTTATCGGTCAATGAAAATCGACAAATCGCGTCGCGTTGTCGAATCGCGTCCGGTGCGTCTGGGCCTTAACGCTATACCAACGGAGTTACAGGTACAAGGTCCAGTCAGTTCGATAGGTGATATTACGAAACTCAGTCTAATTCCTTCAAAACAAATTCAATTTGAAAGACTTATATCATGAGATTTACTGTACAGCTATGGAAGAATGTAGATACCATGCCTCCAAAGGTCCATCCATTAAGGATTATGGTAATTACATGGTCCAATGTTACTATACAAAAGAAAACCGGAGTACCCTGAAAAAACCTGGGGTATTTGGTAGAATATACCTGGAAGCACTCTTCTCACAGATGTGAACTGATTATAATCACGCAACTGTATATTGCAGAAATCGAAGCCAGGTTAAAACACTGTGCCGGCAAAACGTTTAGGTATCTCTCTTAGGACTTAGGACTAAGGTACCTCACTAATCCTAGATCTCTCTTTAAACTACGCACCTTGTCAGCCTTAACTTGCGCCAACAAAGCTTCGACTTCTTTGTCACGTTCGTTTAACTTGAACAATAGATTCTAAACAAAAAAGCGAAATGGCATGTATAGATTGAAGTTGGCAAATATCTGTTTCTATGATTTTTTCCGTAAAACCAGTTACCCTCTCACTGCAAAAATTATATATGATTGATCTCTAACAATGTCCTGATTTGAACAAATCCAGCAAAAGTGAGAAGTGTACCTTGTTTTCTTCATTTGTTTGTGCCAGTCGTTGTAATAAGACATCTTGTTGTCCTATTAGTCTTTTTCCATTACTCTATGAGAAGAATGATAATTTATTCAAACAGTTGAACTTGATTAATCAGTCTGTGCCAGTGTAGCTAGCGATGATAACAAGAGAGCTACAAATTGAGAGAGATACAACTATTGTACCTTATACAAATACGGTTGTCAAGCAGAAGTTTTGCTTGTATTTTTCAGGCACTATTTATAACTCACTAAATCCTAAGAACAACTTGTAAACAATGTTAATTGTTACAGCTAAGCTTCTTACAGCTGACCAATGCTGCAACAAGTCAAGCCAAAGATGGTGGAAATTGAGAAATTGTCTGCGCGGTTACATAAGGCTGACAGGAAATTTCGTATTTTGACTTCGACTAGTATTATGATTTTATGAACTGATAACTTGATTAGCGATAGAATGCATTAGGATAAACTGGAATAAGCTGGGAAAAATGGTAGTAACACTATTCACAACCTTCATAGATTTTGGACGTCACTTTTTGGCTTCACTTTTCTCATAGGCATATAGAGAGAATTAACTGGTGGTGCATTTCTACGCATGTACAGAAGAAGCTTATTACTCTTAAATAACCACATCCACAACCCACTAAAATTAAAATACTGTAAAATGTTTTATCCTTTATTTTATCGTTTACAAACGTCACCACATAATACAATGACACACCTCGTATTGACTCTGTTCTTTTAGAAGCTTTCTTAAAGCTTTGTTTGTGACTTCAAAATCTGCAAGCTTTCTCAGAAGACTTTCTTTTTGTCTGATCAAGTTCACAACATCACCAGATGACATGCGACGATCCTATACGAGTTTATAACAACAATTACCACCCTTGCAACTGACGTCACAAAACACAAAATGTCACGCGATTGTCGAGGTCCAGCCATTTTGGGTGGCAAATATTTGAACTTAAAAACAAACAGGGTGTCAACAACCATCAAAGTCAAGCAGCATGCAGTTGTTCCTTTGTTTGAGAATGTATACAGGCCATTCTTTACCGAATTTAAGCCGGTGTAAGTACTTTATTTCGCCATTAATTTGACCACCCAAAATAGCGGTTGATTTGTCAATATGACGTCATTTTCTCGCGCGACATGTTCAAGCAGTATACATGTTCACATAATGTAAAGAGGAAATATCTACAGTATCAAAACGCACATACAGGTATAAAAGATGTAAAAAATCCATACAAGGTATCTGGCTTAATCTAAACCTGCGGCCATATACTGTAAGGCTTATTCTAAGCATGAAGATTGCATAAGATTATAAACCTACTTCGTTTAACTTATTAACAGTTTCCTTCAGTTTTAACACCATATAACTGGTAGATTTTGCATCCATCTCAGCTTCCACGAGTTTCCTCACCAATGCATCGCGTTCTTCAGCGACAATTTCCACCTCCGATCTATGAACAAGGGGATATCCATTACAGTCTACAATTACATGAGTTTCAGCAGATGGTGTTAAACCTGCAAGCTACCAGAGTGAAAAAATGATGGTAATTCTTTCAATATTACAGTCTATCACGTGGTAGTTTTAAGTTTGTATTTGGGGGAAATAGTAAAAGAGAATTTAGCCTTTCTCACGAAGGCCAAATTTTTGAGGTACTTTTTTGAAAGCGACACGAAAAATCTAAGCGATGTGAAAACATTTTTTTCAAATATTTAACTGTAAAGGAATTATTGGCATGGGGGGGGGGGTATGTCTTCTTTACCCAAGTAGCCTTGTGGCGTTTTTACCCCCACCTTTTCTGTGCTAACTGTTAATGAATTACTTTGGTTAATAATTTGTTATGTTAAACTTATGTCATTGATTACAAAATTAATAAACCGGCATGTGCGTTATGCAATACGCACATTGCCATAATTATTCCAAGTGGTGTCTGATTCGTTTATTGCGCGTAAAGAACATGCACAGAAAACAGAGCTCATCGTGACAAGATATCCCCCAGATATAGTGTTAAATAAAGGAAGCGATAAAGGAATTATTGGCATACCAATGAAGATTTTATTGCTTCCTGAGCTTAGGATATATAAATAGACAAACCTGACATGGGACACATGGGTATTTTCCCCGTAATTTTCTGATCACATGAATGTAATGCGTGCAGGAAAACGGAAGGGAGAGGTGATACATATCTATAGCAGAATGCGCATCTGGTTCATTCTGCTCTTCGCTTTGGTAGCGCAAAGTCGTCTGTATTTTAAAGTCAAGTTTTTCCCCACCCTCCTCCCCGTTTTTCTGAACGCAAGACTATTCTACTTGTATATTGTATATTAGTTATTATAGTTGTTACTGTTAGTTGTGGGCGTTTTTACCCCCACCTTTTCTGTGCTAACTGTTAATGAATTACTTTGGTTAATAATTTGTTATGTTAAACTTATGTCATTGATTACAAAATTAATAAACCGGTATGTGCGTTATGCAATACGCACATTGCCATAATTATTCCAAGTGGTGTCTGACTCGTTTATTGCGCGTAAAGAACATGCACAGAAAACAGAGCTCATCGTGACAAGATATCCCCCAGATATAGTGTTAAATAAAGGAAGCGATAAATTAACTTATAACTCACAATTATAGTCAGTATACAAATCTCGTATTCACTGCGTACAATCTCAGATTTGGAAAAGGCAGTACCCCAAAAATGGCGGCGTGAGAAAAGATAGATAGATAGATTATTTAATAAGATTTTACATCGCAGCTCAAAACAGCTGAATTGCGTAAAATTTACAAAACATAAAAATTAGCTGTAGGTTATAAAGTCTATAAACACATACATATTACACACATACAAATACTAACAGTACACATACTGTCATACATATAAAACAATTCATAGCAAACCATAGCAATCCTATTTCTTTAAATTATTTGACATTGCGGAAATATAAGAGTTTCTAAAACGACTGGTTCGTATAGTAGGACAATCAAACGCACGTTCTTTCCTCAGGTTGTAAGTGGGATTATGTTTGGGTGGCAGTAGTTGATAAAGCTTGTGGTCTGAGTTGGATACTATTGTCTTGAAAAGTTTTTCACACAGTTTCTGACGCCTGTCTTTGAGAGAACTAATATTATGCGTGTTAAGATTGTTCGTACAAGATGACCCAGGAGATATAATTGAAAGTGCTCGTTTTTGAATGCGTTCAAAAGCTAATTGCGTTAGTTTGCGTGCTCCAAAAAGTAAAATTTCTGAAGTCGGCCACCGTCTGCTGCCCTGGAACAGTGAGCTCTATAAGTATATCTGGAGCGACAACTTCAATCATTCGGCTTATGAGAAGGGAACTCTCTCAATTTCAGCAGCTGTTTGTGTCTATTACCCTTTTAATCAGTGGCGGACACATTTCACGGGAGGGGGGGGGGGGTTCAATATATATGCCAAAGGGGTTTCGGTGTCCGTTTAAGGCTCTACTTTATGCAAATCTTTCAGAACATGGGTCACTTGAAGAAATGAAGAAAGAGTCCTGAGTTGTGCCATTTCACTGACATTAGATAATCAATTAATCATGTCGATTAGCGTTGTTGTTTAATGTACAGCAAAATTATAACTATCAATTCTAATGGTTTAAATTTTTTATCAGTAGAGCTGTAAGGAATCCTACACAGAACAAAACAGATTGTATAAAATTTGTATGTTGTGGCATCATTGGTATGCATCGTACAGGATCATATATTGCTTACTATATTTCTAATTTTAGCTTAGGTTTATGACATAAATCTTGTACCTTGATCTATTTGCGTGACCTCGAAGCTTTTCTAGTGAGGACTTCAACTCTTTATTTTCATCCAACGTGCTTCGTAATTCCTCCCGATATTCCTACAATGCATTTTATATAATTATTAAACTAAACAAATTAGGGTGTCCACCCTTTGGTGAAGGTGGAATTCAAGGACACCCTATCTACCATATGAAAATGGAGTTCTGGCATTTGGAAAAAGAATTCTGGCATTTGAAAAGGAAGTTCTGGCATTTGAAAACGGAGTTCTGGCATTTGAAAAGGGAGTTCTGGCATTTGAAAACGGAATTCTGGCATTTGAAAACGGAGTTCTGGCTTTTTCAAACTGAGTTGTGGCATTTAAAAATGGAGTCTGGCTTTTGAAAACAAAGTTCTGGCAATTGAAAACGGAGTTCTGGCATTTGAAAACGGAGTTCTGGCATTTGAAAACGGAGTTCTGGCATTTGAAAAAGGAGTTCTGGTATTTGAAAACGGAGTTCTGGCATTTGAAAACGGAGTTCTGGCATTTGAAAACGGAGTTCTGGCATTTGAAAAGGAAGTTCTGGCTTTTGCAAACTGAGTTGTGGCATTTAAAAAGGAAGTTCTGGCTTTTGAAAACAAAGTTCTGGCAATTGAAAACGGAGTTCTGGCAATTGAAAAGGGAGTTCTGGCAATTGAAAAGGAAGTTCTGGCATTTGAAAACGTTGGTTAATTAACCCTCTGCTAAAATTTAACATAATGTTTTAGTTTATGTATTTCTACACGTCTGTTTGTTTCAAAACTTCAGAGAGGAAAACTCCTACTGATCCAGACAAAATTTTTTGAAGAAACATTTCCAAATTTATAAACAAGCTGTTGGGAAGTTTGGTTTATATTTTTTATTAACCTAGGATTTAGCTAATCGGCTTCGCACAACCGGCCCACACCAAGGTCTCTGAAACGCTATCTTAAAACGAATCTGGTTCTAGAGATTTAATATTTATCATATATTTTGTGGAATTTCTATATCATGATTAATCATGAAAATAGCAGAGGTAACAGCTAGGAACATAGAATTTATAGGTTTATGAATACGAGTAGGACCTAGATAACAAAAAATCTAGACTGGAGGCATTTTTATGAAATACATGTTCGGTTCTTTGAGGCATTGCAGTAGATCGACTAGAACAGGAATTTACATGATGTCCTAAACCAATCACAGCTATCATGAAGCAGATCGACTAGAACAGGAAGTTACATGATGTTCTAAACCAATCACAGCTATCATGAAGCAGATCGACTAGAACAGGAAGTTACATGATGTCCTAAACCAATCACAGCTATCATGAAGCAGATCGACTAGAACAGGAAGTTACATGATGATGTCCTAAACCAATCACAGCTATCATGAAGCAGATCGACTAGAACAGGAAGTTACATGATGTCCTAAACCAATCACAGCTATCATGAAGCAGATCGACTAGAACAGGAATTTACATGATGTCCTAAACCAATCACAGCTATGATGAAGCAGATCGACTAGAACAGGAATTTACATGATGTCCTAAACCAATCACAGCTATCATGAAGCAGATCGACTAGAACAGGAAGTTACATGATGTCCTAAACCAATCACAGCTACCATGAAGCATGGAACCATACAAAGCATTGACATGAAGACAACACAAATTAGCTGTAAATTAATTAGCTGAGTGTAGCTAAGTGTAATTGTTTCACGTTAAAAAAATTGTATTGTATTTGCATTCACGTCATTACAATCTCTCCCGATCAAAGACGTTAGATCAAAACACATCATGTGACTGCCATTCGTGATAACATCAACACCTTCGCATATTTGAAACTTCATGTAATACAATAGTAAATAGCACATTGATCATATAGTCAATGAATGTCAACACACGATCTCAAATGTATACAAGTCAGATTGCGGGAATGAATTTCAAGTTCATACTGTCCTGAAGATGGAACATAGCAACGGTAGGATCGAAAAAAACCCGATCCTCTGTACACATGATTTAGAAATTCCACAAAATATACCAACATTTACCATAATTTCATCCTCTTGTTCTTCAAGCAGTCTTTTACTGGCATTCAATTGTTCTTTCTTTTTCTGCACAGATCTCGTGCTGTCATGCATACCCACCTGATAAAAAATCAAAGACTCTTGTAGGAAACATTTAAGACCCATTTTGACATGATACGACCAGTCGTGTACATAGTACTACATACGATTGTCGTTCTGGCGTATGAAAACGACTGCTGACGCCACTCTTCCTGTTCATCATTTTATGGCGAAAATTGAAATGTGACATCTTTACATGCATTTATTCGAGTACATACCCTAGGATAATAGATAGGCCTTTAAAGGCACAGTTCAACCTTTTGAATGATAGTTTTTAAGGCTCATTGCAACCCTTTTAATTGAAAAAACTAACTAGGAAAATCAATTAAGCATAATTCAAGATCAGTGATTTCAATGTTTTAACGTTTTTTGACATTTTTAATGTTGAAAACATTAAGTTCACTGATCTTGAATTAGGCTTAATTGATTTTCCAAGTTGGTTTTTTCAATTAAAAGTGTTGTAATGCGTCTTAAAACCATCATTCAAAGGCTGAACTGTGCCTTTAAGGGCAAACAATAAACTATTTAACTTTGTTATGTTTTTCTCAGCCTACCTCATGTCGTAATGTTCCTATTTCGTCCATCAAGTTGCCAATTGTTCTCTCATAAACTCTCAGCTTATCTCGCGTCCCTTCTTCCTAAATATAACATTCACGCAAATCAATGCCAACAGAATATTTTGAAAAACCATCAAACTATTTATTCTCCAAAGTAAATTGTTTCGTACCTCGGAGGTGTCAAGATCATCAACTCTAAGAGATCGTCTCGTACTTGTCAAATTACTCGGGTCAATTTCCAGTCTGTGAGTGTTACCCTAACAAAGAAATCATCGCATCACATTACATCGCATCACATCACATCACATCACATCACATCACATCACATCGCATCGCATCGCATCACATCACATCACATCACATCACATCACATCACATCACATCACATCACATCACATCACATCACATCACATCACATCACATCACATCACATCACATCACATCGCATCGCATCGCATCGCATCGCATCGCATCACATCACATCACATCACATCACATCACATCACATCGCATCACATCGCATCACATCACATCACATCACATCACATCGCATCACATCACATCACATCGCATCACATCACATCGCATCGCATCGCATCGCATCGCATCGCATCACATCACATCACATCACATCGCATCGCATCACATCACATCGCATCGCATCACATCACATCACATCACATCACATCACATCACATCACATCACATCGCATCGCATCGCATCGCATCGCATCACATCACATCACATCACAAAGACAGTTCGTCGGGACGTTAGTAGCCAGCTTTCTTTTAGGGGTGCACCGGATACAGTATCTGGCAGGATAGTGACCGAAATCGTACTAATATTTACTATTATCCGGCCGGATACGGCCGGATAATTTGTTTCTCACGAAGTGTACTAAATTTCCGTTTATTGAAACATAAATAGTACTAAAAAAAAGAGACACCCAAAAAGGACATGTTAAAAATGATACTATATGATAGCCACTGATATATTTAGTTGAATTAATTAACTATTCCCAGCGTTTGGCGCCAATATCCGTACCAAATCCTATCGCCTAAAAACTTTCGAAAGTTTTCGGAAACATGCGAATGGGAGTGGAAAAAGTAAAAACAGATTTTTTAGTTAACCATAATTGATTATTTACTCAAAAATTAAAAAAATAATGTCACCATCTTCTGCACTAATACATGGATGAGAAAAATCCTTCTAATATAAATTATATGTCAAGTATTCAAATTGATAAAATATCCGGTAATCGTATCTGGCCGGATTTTTTCAGATATCCGGACGGTGCACCCCTACTTCTTTATTTAGCAACCTAGTAAGGTATAACGTACCTCCCAAGCAATAGTCTTCTTGCTACCGGGAGAAGTTCGTGCAGGCGGTGGAACAAAATGAGGTTTATGTCTTCCTGATTTTAATGCTGATTGCTTCTATAAAATAATAAATAACATAATTTAATCTTCATTAGAGTTCATTCATAATTATCGGGGAGAGGGGTTATTGACCAATGTTATAGCGATGATAAATCCACTGTCATATTTTTTATAATTTCAAGTTCTTACACTGGATTTGCTTGAAGCATTAGCTAATCTTCTGTGACTGTGCCTTATCCTTTCCTAGAATTAAAAATATTGTTGTTTACATTGCTGCTAGCCAATTCAACCCTTTAGATAACTCACATGTCTACAATCCTACCAAAAATGATGTGGACACCTAACTTTTCCAACGCCAAAATTAACATTGAGACGTTCTTTCGTTAAATGTGTCGCCTCCTGCCGCTATTCAATGTTGTTTTTCGCATTTAAATTTTAAAAGTATGTTCAGTTGATTTACCAACATTGAAATGGGGGTAGGAGGGGGAGAAATTTTTTTTTGGGGGGGATTAATTCTGTAGAAATACATCTAGTTTTGTTAGCATGACGCACGCGCTGTCTACGATAATTTTTGCCAGGTTTATAGTTACTCCTAGTTTACAGAAGCATAAAATACGACAAAGGTATAACTAAGCATTAGAGTTATGTACAAGAGTCATTCACACATGTAGATAATTCTAAAGCTTAGTTACCTTTGTTCTGTTCTATGCTTCTGTAAACTAGAACATTGGTAACTAGGCATGCGAGTTATCTGGAGTTTTGAATTGGGTTTCAAAAACTCATTAATAATTCTCATGAAAACACAAAGAAAAATCATAAGCGTATCGTATATCTTTATACAGGGTTGTTAATTTCAACTTGAACTATAAACAGTTGTTTACAATAGTTCAAACGTTGAAACGTACTTGCGAACTTTGTTGCGAAGTTCACTCCCAATTTTTGAACTTGGAAACGTAATTGGCAAGTTTCCACTGACAAACTTGGGAACCGCGCGTTGAAAGGTGACTTGAGATCGACAATAAGATGGCAATAACTAAATCAGTTTTATGAAATAGTACGTCGTTTTCGAAAATAACCAGGCTATAAAGTATAGACCAAGTTGAGGAAAAATAACTTGGTTTGAAAGCTTAGAAGGAAGGAAGCAGAATTGATGTTTCAAGAACTAAACAAAGTAACCGGCGGTAAACCTCGTGCCACCCGCCGGAGTTCCGGCGGCCGCCGGGTTATTTTGAAAGCCCTGCATACGTGACCATGGTGTCATGCTTCAGTATAGATACACATTGGGACAATCCAGGAGGGTGTAGAAGAGTGAGGGCTCAGGGGGCTGAGCCCCCCTTGCTAAAAATTTCATGGCAGTTTGGGGGGGGGGGCTAACCTCCCAATATTTTTGCAGATTACATATTCATAACTTGGAAAGTTCTTTGCGACTGTAGTGTTGAAATAATGCAGTAATGATGTTAGTAATCTGTACTTGCTTAGTATGATGATACTATTAGGTCATGTATGTGGCTCCAACATAAAATACAGGCAACTGAATTCGCAAAAAATCAGGTCAACCTGAAGTGAAAACAGGTCGGAAACAGGTACTGTAGCTTGTAGGTAAATTTAGGTTTCCAATAAAAACATGTCTGTAGCAAACCAGGAGGTTAGAGAACTGTATCACATCTAGTTACTTAACTTAACTAAATCATAACCAAACATAGTTGAAGTGTATGATGTCTGACATCCTTTTGAATTTGAGTTGTGACATAGTAAAAAACATTTGTATACAAATTCCATTCCTTTTTTTTTACTCTCTAAATTTGCATCAGGAAAGTATATTGTCAGATAAAAATTGCAGGTCTGCAATTTTTTGCAGTCCTGACAGAGCGATATGTCAGCTGGATTTGCCGATTGACAACCTGAATTCAGAGGCCTGGAAATAGCTTCGGTATATCAGAATTTTTTATTTGAAGTCCTTTAATTTTTAAAAACAACACCAATTGAAGAATTACTAAAACCAAAAATAAATACTGGAACTTATCCACGCCTTATCATCACACCCTTGTTATCATTTTAGTCCTACACCAATTATGGGACAGTCTACTTTTACATACATTATTCCTCCTCCCTTCCCCCATTGATATCAATGCCCTTCTCTCACCTGTTTCAATGTTGGACAAGTCAGGCTTAAAGTCACTTTATACCCACAAAGGGAAACCAATGATGGAGTGGCTTGTTATATGGTACAGACTGGTACTAGGAGCAAAATGTACACCAGTAGCAGACACCTTGCAAAATATTGGCTGCAAATTAGGTTGCCAACATATATGACTACCTTTTGTTGTTGGAAGTCTTAGCTGTCAAAAAGATTTTGCCTTAAATTTAATGCGATATATATAAAGCTTTAAATTTATAGCCAACCAATGCTTTCATGGTTGAAAAATTATTCTTATATCATTCAAAGGCTTTCAGAAATTGAGAAGCATTTGCCCCCGGGCAGGTTCCACCACTGTTATCCCATTGAGTGGCAGCACTCTCCACTGGACGAGTAAAATTTTCGGGCGTCAGACAGAGGGAAATACTAAAGTAGGGCGCATCAGGGTGCATTGTCTGGTATTAGACAGAGTAAAATATACTCTGGCATTAGACAGAGTAAAATACTAAAGTAGGGCCACAAAGGGGGACTGATGACAATCTCGTTTTGTTATGCCATGGCGGCCTTATGCTAGTATGCAAACATACAAATGGGTCGTTCCTAAAAAGTCGATCCATACTCCCCCGGCCCCACAAAGGAAATTTCTGCTGTCCGGAGGGGGAGGGGGGGCGAAATTGTTTCTGGTAATAGTAAATGTATTAGGACATCCGAAGGGGGTAGGGGGTTAACTTCCTATTTCCTCTGTGGGGGTGGTATGGATGTTTTCTGGAATGATCCAATAATGATCTCAACCTGACTGATCAGAATTCAATTTCCACACATACCTCAACTGCTGTTGGAACGCCACGTTCCTTCTTTTTTTTCTTAACATTGACATGTGCGGGTGTACTTTTCTCTACATCTCCATCGTGAAATGGTGACTTAGTTCTTCCACTCTCTTTTTTCATTGCAAAACATTACTAAATTAGATTACAACTCTAGAAAAAAAAGGTGAAGGGACTATCATTTTATGACATTTAACACTTTCTGGCCTTGTATACTGTTGGAAATAATAAAATAGAAACTATTGGGAGCATTTCACAACCCATTGAGTCGCATTGTGCCCTGATGAGCCCTACTTTATTATTTTACTCTGTCTAACACCAGACAATTTTACTCATCAAGGGAGAGCGCTGGCACTTAATGGGTTAATATAAAATACACGGAAAATCGGTAATATATATAACATTATTAATAACAGTACACTCACAGAACTAGTATTGTTTGATGTTGAATAATGTAAGGGATTAGTAGTTGATAGTTACTTTGGACACAGAATACTACACAGAAGTCCATCTCCATTGTTTTTTGCATAAGCGCTATTCATCATGATTCGTCACTCAGCAAGTACCGTAAACAGAAGCAGTCCCCCCCCCTCCCCCTGTAAATACTCAAAATGGCACATGTCCAGGGGGGACTGCTTCTGTTTACGGTACGTGCTGAGTGACGAATAGCGCTTACGCAAAAAACAATGAAGATGGACTTCTAGCTGCGTAGTATTCTGTGCTTTGGACATTAATTGTCAAATTGCCACGAGATAATGTCGATAAGTTCATATAAAAACCCACCCACTCATAACGTCAATCATTCAACATTATTTGTGGCAACATGAATATGGACGTGGCTCCTAAACGAGAATATGTTTATGACATTCAGTATACTGTATAGTTCATAATTTCCTGTCTTCTATCCATCCCGACCCTAGCTGTAGCTCAGTTGGCAGAGCATGGATCTAGTAATTGGAAGGTCTGATGTGCACAGATTTTGTCAAAAGCAAAAATATTCTGTGTGCAGTTTACATGGTAATACTAAAAAAATAACAAAGTTGGCAGTCTGGTACAAATGCAATATCACTAACATGATTTCGATAATTTTAAGGGAAAAAACAATAATTATTGGCAATCTATTAAGCATTAAGCGAAAATCACCTATTTCTAACTTTAATTAGTACATGTATACAAATAAAACCAATACTTCATTTACCTCGAAATAATCGACCAAATTTCATCGACTAAATTAATGCGTTAAAAATCCATGATCACTTTAAAATTCGACAAACCAAAACCCTTAAAACAATGTACAGATGGTAAAAAGGCGAATAATTTAAAAATAAATATTCTCTTGTCTTATATTGATGCAAAAATTTCTATATTTGCAAAAGGAAACTGGTAAAAATTTAAAAACATGGCGCCTTCTTTCCAAGATTATAAAACGCTTTCTCATTGGTCAATTCTAAACTCGCGTCAGTCTCTTCTGTAAACGCTCGGCGAGTGTATCTAAAAGTCGAGGGTCGAGAGTAAAGGTCGAGAGTCGAGAGTAAAAGTCGAGAGTAAAAGTCGAGAGTCGAGGGTAAAAGTCGAGAGTAAAAAGTCGAGAGTCGAGAGTAAAAAGTCGAG